TCCCCCTAACTCTCCCAATATGTGTTTGTTATGTGCTACTTTGCTAAATGTTGAAGTTCTACTGAACAAAGTCTTATGATCTGCTCGATTAGCTGCTTTGTATGCTCAACTTGGCTATGTCTATTTTAAGTATAAGTGTATCACCTAACTTATGTCCCTCCATCGATATCCACTCTTTTTACTTGCTACTCATGCTATTCTGAACTTCTCATTCTTAGCCGGCTGAAAGCCAAGGCTATCTAGGTTCTATTGTCGGCCTCCCTAGTGTGAGCATTGCTCGGGGTCCAATTGAGACCCTTGTGAACTCTGACACACTAGGGCTTGGTCCTTAGTCACTCCCTTAATCTCAAGTTTTTCCTATTCACTCTACTTCCCCCCTGTTATGTGTTGTGTACTTGAATTGGCTGATTTAAATGGTGCAATACTTGGTGCCATGGTTGAGTAAACTGGTTCTGGACCCCTCTGTGGATCCCTGAGTCATGTATTAAATGTGGCTCTTTATTGAAGGTCTGGGTATGCTATGTAAGAGTTGTTGAAGGCCCAGGCAATGCTGGGTATTTATTAGGCCTGTTGTGGGCCTCTTATCACTGTTATGTAACACTGGTACTTTTACTCATTATTGGGCCTGTACTAATCTTTGTATAAATAATTGGGGTTGTTAGTAAAAGGGAATGGGGTAGATTTTAATATTTACATGCGATGGGTAGATAACATGCTTATAGATAACATGCTTATAGGACGTAATAATGTGTTTGTTATATGCATCGTTCAATCTCTATGTACATTATAGAAATCATGATATTAGGAGAAGCACACACTCACACTACTTGTCTACTAGCAAAGCATGAGCTCAAATTCTTCAATTATCCTTGTTGCTACATGTTATTAGAAAACATGCCCATAGGAAATAAATATCGTTGAACTTTCCTTCAATTTGCATTGCTAGAAATCATGCCTATAGGATTTTGATCATTTCATTTGCTACTATATCGCACTGTTCACTAGAAACCATGCCTATAGGACTAAGTATAACAATAAAATCAGTTCCAAGTGCTAATCGTTAAAGATCCTGCCTATAGGATACCACAATTCGCCTTAATAACTGTTAATGATGCCCCTCTCAACATTGTTTATTGTTAACTTAGACCACTATCAAAAGCGTGAGTAATTCAGGGTTTCTCCAGATAGATTCCACTGTCTTACCTACATAAATCACTTAGACGCAACATCTACAGGATTAATAACTGAAAATCTGCAATTTCAACAATCAATATGCGACAACTGTATAATCCTGTTTATGGGCGACACTTGGTTTCTGAAACTGCTTGCATGCCTTAATGGCTTGTCACATAGAAATCATATCTATAGATATCTAAGTTCTTAATTCTGAACTTCTCAACATACAATTTGTCTTGCATGCATTTGTTGCTTAAGTGTGGAGGCAAACTTGAGCCTTGACTGCCTATATGTGAAGTCCAATATGTTTTGTATGTCGCATAGTTTTGACATTTCTAAGCAACCTAAGTGAGGTCTAGAACCACCCAAAATAGAGGTCCAATACCTCCTGGACCATAGGTATGGGACGGGTAGTGCAAGCATAAGGTACGACTTATAATTGAATTAGAACACTTTTAGGTAGCAACTTTAACATAGTAATCGGGTAGTAGAAGATGATAGTCTGTGCCCGCTGAATAATATGAGTAACACCCCATCTTGAGGGAGTTACGAAGTATTATTTATGTTGCACGGGGTGATCCTTTAGGCTAAAAAAATTTAGGACCCCCCTCCTCTTTATATGTTGTTATTAGATCTAAATAGTTGTATCCCTATATTCGCACTAAGATCTGTATTAATCATGTTGTAATAAAGTTCTTTGACTTCTGAATCTCTTTTGTTTACTTGATCACCTAGCTTAATCATAATCCAAATAATCTTAAGTTTGGCCGGGACCCACAGTTGTGGACCTCGAGGAGTGCCTAACACCTTCTCTTTGAGGTAACTTGAGCCTTTACCCGATCGTTGGTGGCGTTGACTAGTCAAACAGAGTTATCTGCATAATAGGTGCCCTAACGCACCTTAAAAATCTTTAGGTGGCGACTTTTCTCCTTTAGAACTCTTTTACAAATTTAAAAGGAGTTGTCACGTATTGAGGCCCGCTTTCGTGAGACAAACGGGGTGCGACAATTGCTGCTTCCATTGTCGAGCGAAGCAGCATCTTCCGCAAGTTCAGCTAGAATTTCTTCGTAAGCTTCGTCTTCCTCTGGTTGTGATTCAGCAAGTGCAAAATTTCTTCTTTCCGAACGGATCCAATCTCTGAAAAGTATTGATTTTTCCAAGCTCTCCCTCATAGACGCTCTATAATCACCGAGTTGAAGTCTTGCTTGACTGAAAGCGCTCTCTGATGCCACTGTTGAAGCTTGAATAGTTAAAATATCTCGGACCATCCTTGAAAGAACCGAAAAGTATTTTTCTTTGTCCTTCCACCATTGTAAAAGATTAAAGGAACCGTCGGGATTCACTTTCATAATTCCCTGCGACAAATAAACTTCAAGCTCATTTAGTTGTGAAAAATTACTACTACTAGAACCTTGAGAACCCCTAAACCCCGCCCAAGCACTAAGTGCTCTTACTCCTGCAGTTCTTTTAGATGATTGAGAATCAAAAGAAGAAGGAGTTAGAACATTTGGTCTAGCATGATTTAATGCAACTTGATAAGCATTATAAATAGTTTGAGCATTTATTCTAATTGAGGCTATTGCTTCCAGAAGTCGAGACAACTCATCATCTTCACGTACTAAACCATTATAAACAGTTTCATACCAAAATTGAGGACCTCTTAATTTCATACAAGGATTTAACCTTTTCAATTTTAATATTTAAAATTCTTATACCATCACCCACAACTAATGCAAAAATATTTGCAAATATCCATAATTGTGTTAGCAATAAACTGCCATATGTGACGTGAATTAATTATTCTATAAGTAATTATGCACTTTTGCATTATCCAATCCTCAAATCCACTGACTGGTAACAGTAAGGTAATCACAGTCATTGTCACTTCTACCAATATCAGTTGTAATAGCAACACGATAATTTATATGAGTAAATAAATAGCGAAAATATTGTACATATTCATGCTTATATTTATAAATATCGCTCTTTACGGTTGTGCGAGAAAAACCTTTATAAGTAGGATTAAAAAACTTCTAATATAATGCACAAACGAAGGGTCAGAAGAAAAACTACAGGGTAAGCACATAATAGTTACCATTTTTGCCAATTCTTCTCGATCTTTTTTTGGATCATAAATGTTAATTCCCGGTTGAAATTGATTTGAACCGGTACTAGGGTCAGCCTGACTAGGAGTAGGTACATTTTTCCCCTCGGCCAAAACTTTCAGACGAAGATATCTGACTCTATCTTCAGGGTGTTTTTTTATGTGTCGAGCCAAAGTTCCCGNAAAATGGCCAAACATGAGATGTTTTCGTCCGTTTGGTAGGTTTTCTAGAAAAGTAGGGGCAGAAACATGAGTATCAGATGTGGCATCATTTGGATTATTAGGGTTATCACTAGTTGGGTTAACATCAGGAGCAAGACTAGTGGGTGTATCATCATCTGGTTGAGTTTCATCAAGATCAATTTCCTCATTATCATTTTCATCAATAGGATTATAATTATTAGAATAAAGAGCATTCATTAATTCATGGTCTAATTATTCACCGGGTGCTATATTATGGCAAAATTGACTCTCGGTAAATTGTAATAAACTAGTATCGCTATCAAGAATAGCAGGTGTAGGACGAATATGGGGTTTGGTTCGGGGGGCAGGGGAGGAGGAACAACATGACCATTAGATTCGTCACTCTTGGATTTTCCCTTATTCTTATTTTTAGAAAAATAATTTTTTAAGGAAGTCATCTTAATTAATCAAATAATAGCAAATAAATAAAACAAACAAAAACTATAATATTAAGACTTAAAAGTTGGAACGAGTTTACCGAATTGACGAACAACTTGTTGAAAATTGATTATCGTTGAAGACTTGAATACTTCAATTCACCAACTTCACAATTTTTTCACAAATTGTAACACAACCTCAATATTTTTGAACTATTTTTTGGAATAAAGTAAGCAATATTAGCAATTATAGGAGAAACTTAGAGAGAGATTGTGATAGATTGATATTGATTTTGTAAGAAAAATGAAAGAATGTGGGGTATTTATAGTTGAAAATAAGGAAAAGGTGTAATTATAAAAAGTTTGGGGTTAAAACAAAGTTGGGGGATTAAATGGCTATTTTCTAAATAGCCAACGGCTATTTTTGACAACTCAACGGCTGTTTGTTAAATTTTCCAAATGGCTAGTTTTTTTTAAAAAAGAATTACCGTTACCGTTTGGCCCACCAAAGGCAGGCCAAACGGTCCCGGTCCTACCGGTTCCAAAGCCAAGAACCGGCCCACGAGACCGGCCCAGGCTCACATATATCGGTTCTACCAGTCCCGGTCCCGGCCCACTTAGCCCGTTTGAACCGCGGTCCCGGACTGGCCCACTTGCCATCCTTAATTTGTGGCGTAAAGTTAGGTTGATCTTTTTTTTTATAGAAGAGTAGAGATTTAGCGTATAGTGAGAGTTTCTTTCCAAATAGCAAGATAGCATTCTAATCCTTCTCGAACCCTCCGTGACTAAAACCATCTATACCCACAATAAGATACCAAATGAACCCACGGGAAGTCTCAAATCAAGGAGCAAGGTGCTAAAACTCGAAATGATAGATTGGATCGTCAAACAAAATTTCTCCATTCGAGAGCTCGAATCCGAAACCTTTCGTTAAGGGCGAAGAATCTCATGCATCCCACTACATCTTTGGTGACAAATGAGAGTTAGTATCATGATTGGTCATCAAAATAAAGGTCTATTGCAAGTTGTGAAGCTAAATTTGTAACAAAAACATGCAGAAACTGTCCTAACATTGTCAATAAAATGAAAATCGCCGAAAAGGCATCAACCTTGAGCTGAAAATTACATTTAAGCTGCCACAAGTTAATATTGTCAAATAAGTTGTGTATCGTTAATTTGTTATCAAAATTCCAGATCCAACACCTACAGCTACAACTAGCAAAATAACAATTCCAGGTCTCCCTTTACGATTACATGACTTTAGCAAAATATGCAACTAAAACTAGGAACACCTGAATTACAATTGTAGATTTCATTGAGTGAAAATACATGTTAAACAGATATGGAATGCATACATCAAAATACACCAATTTCTTCTCTATCAATATCTTCTATTTCACTTCTCTTTCCGTAACTTCGTGAGCTAATTCCATCATATTCTCAAACTGAGTTCATGAACTGGACACCAATATTTCAGTACTACTGTGCACTGATGGAACTGCAGCTGCATGTTTTACTAGCTCCTGCTTTTAATTTTTTGTTGCAACAGGCAGGTCTCCTTCGCTCTTGGCCATGTGCATGCAAGTTTTCCGCGCTTTAGACTTTTCCCTGCGTCTCCTTCTTCGAAGACTGGAGTTCAAGTGATGCTCCGAGGTGGTTGTCAATTGGCATACTGCACTAGCCCACTCTGTCTCAACTTCCTTTGAAGAAATAGTCTCTCGGAGTTTACTCTCTTCTGGAATAGCCGTTTCCTTGACTAGCAACCCTGTCGTATTATTCGCAATCTGAATTAGATTTACCTTCAAACTTTTAACCTGCAGGTCCACGGAAAAAATTAATAACTGGCATACTGAACTTTTGCTTGGTTATAGAACAAAGAAAAAACAAATACTAGGCTAGAATAATGGTGGTAGTGATGTTTACAAGAAAAGCTCTTAATTTATCAATGGTTTCTTATATTCAATTAAGCTTCATCGTGAACTCTTCCTAGCTTGACCACTAAAAGTATCACTAACAGCTAGTAAGCTTTTATCATGAAAGCATCAAGCTCTCCTCATCAATCACTAGACAGCTTGTTTGCTTAATGTATTCATCCATTGTTTGCTGAGCAATTGCATCCAGACTCCAGATAATACTTGTGAACACATAATATTCCAAAAAAACAACCAACGAAATTCTAGTGTTAAAAATATAACCTGGTTTGGCTCAGCTGCTTCATGTTTTGCCATTTGTTCTATTGTTGCAACAGGCAGGTCTCCTTCGCTCTTGGCCATGTGCATGCCAGTTTTCAGCGCTTTAGACTTTTCCCTGCGTCTCCTTCTGCGAAGACTGGAGTTCAAGTGATGCTCCGAGGTGGTTGTCAATTGGCATACTGCACAAGCCCACTCTGTCTCAACTTCCTTTGAAGAAATAGTCTCTCGGAGTTTACTCTCTTCTGGAATAGCCGTTTCCTTGACTAGCAACCCTGTCGTATTATTCGCAATCTGAATTAGATTTACCTTCAAACTTTTAACCTGCAGGTCCACGGAAAAAATTAATAACTGGCATACTGAACTTTTGCTTGGTTATAGAACAAAGAAAAAACAAATACTAGGCTAGAATAATGGTGGTAGTGATGTTTACAAGAAAAGCTCTTAATTTATCAATGGTTTCTTATATTCAATTAAGTTTCATCGTGAACGCTTCCTAGCTTGACCACTAAAAGTATCACTAACAGCTAGTAAGCTTTTATCATGAAAGCATCAAGCTCTCCTCATCAATCACTAGACAGCTTGTTTGCTTAATGTATTCATCCATTGTTTGCTGAGCAATTGCATCCAGACTCCAGATAATACTTGTGAACATATAATATTCCAAAAAAACAACCAACGAAATTCTAGTGTTAAAAATATAACCTGTCTTGGCTCATCAGCTGCTTCATGTTTTGTCATTTGTTCTATTGCTTTGATATCTTCCCAAACAGGACCACCATCTTCACACTCAGTCTGTTTAGGGGCACTATGAATGTTATCAAGAAATGAAAGCATGTGCGTGGATGAAAAGATTTTCACAACGAAAGAATAAGGAAGAGAACGGCACCCAATTATGTGGCTTAGTGGTTAATAAAGTGGGTGCAAACGTTGGAGACTAGGATTCAAATCTCATAGACAAAATCACTGAGTGAGGTTTTCGCAGTTAATTACTAAGGGAAATTCATAATTGTTTTATGCTTTATTTGAGACAGCTGATAGCTGCACAATGCAACCTATTACTCGTGTATATACAATATTTTATGGGTCGGAAGGTACATTTTGTCTATGCAGAAGAAGCGAATTCATGAATTTGCTATAAATAGTAATTAGTGCATGATTTCATTACTTTATGAAAACCATTCAATAATTAGTACCCAACTGCCAATGTAATTTTCAGATTTATTATGGTGTGAAAACGCCAATAAAGCAGCAGCATAAGAAGTTAACGACAGTTTCATACAGTACAGGGAATTAGGAAAAATAGCTGTGGCAGCTGGTTAGCGGTGAGCATTCCTGCTTTATCGCTAGGATCAGTAGTCTCGATTCTCTTCCGCGTGATGATCCAAACTATAATATTTGGACTGCAATAAGAGATCATGATACATACACTGATGATGAGCATTGAAAGGAATGAATAGTCGAGTTCAAAGTTGCTACATTGTCCAGTGGAATAATTACCTTAATTTATCAACCAAATATATATTTATATATATGCATTATGCAGTGGAACATGCAGTCATACATTTGCACGTACATAATGGTAAGAATCTAACATTTGGCGACTGAAACAAAATAGAAGTCTCAACTCTCATGTAACTAGCTGAAAATAAGTGGCACCCAATTTGCCAAAGAAGTGGCTACTCCTTGCTGAAGTAACATCAGACATACCTTGTTTGCAATAAGTTTCTCAGGGACATCAAATCCAGAGCACCTCTTGTTACAAGTACCACACCACAGTGTAGAATTATGAACAGCAACGTCACCACTCTTCAGTTGCTTTGGCCTTTCTAGCAGTCCTTTCGTATTACTCTCAATCCCAATTACATTTGCCTTCAAATGTTTAACCTGTAGGTCCACTGGACAATTTAATAACTGGCATACTGATTGATTTTGCTTGATTATAGAAAAAAAACAAAAACTTAAGAGCTTCAGTTCTCTCCATTTTTCCAATAGGCTTCTTAAATTCTCATGAGAATTAAACAGAGGCTCAAGATAATACTAAGATATCGAATGCAAACTTCAAAAAGAATCTACAAGAGAATTAAGGAAAAGAATGGTACCCAAGGATGTAGCCTAGGGGTCAATTAAGTGGGTGCAAACCTTGGACACCAAGGTTCAAATCCTGGTACAGACCAAAAATACTGGAAGTGATTTCTTCCTATCTATGTGGGCAAAGTTACCCGGTACCTATGCTGGTGGCAGATAGCAGGTACCCGGTGGAATATTCGAGGTTCTTGCAAGCTGGCCCGGACACCACCGTTACCAAAAATATTAAAAATTAAATAAGGAAAAGATTTAATTTCACTGTTAACTAAGGACAATTCAGATTTTTTAATGCTTTCTTACTAAGTTGAGAAGTTAACGACAGTGTCATGCAGTACGTGGAGCTACAAATAACAACTGAGGAACCTGGTTGGTGGTGACCTTTCCTGCTTTATTACAAAGTTGCTATATTTCCAGTGGAATAATTACCTTAATTTACAACAACAACAACAAAAATACCAGTGGAATATGTAGTCATATATTTGCACATCCGCAATGGTAAGAATCTAACATGGAATCTGACATTTAGTGACTGAAATAGAATAGTAGTCTCAATTATCATCTAACTAGCTGAAAATAAGTGAGCATCCAATTTTCTGATGAAGTGGCTACACCTTGCTGAAGTAACATCAGACATACCTTGTTTGTAACAAGTTTCTCGGAAACATCAGATCCTTTCTCTTCAAGATTCCTCTCTGCCACAGCCTTCGAACTCATTGTTTTTTGGAGTTTGGCCATATGCTTTCTCCCGTTAAGATGTGCTGCCATAGCAGTCTCGTCAGAGCACCTCTTGTTACAAATACCACACCACAGTGTCGAATTATGAACAGCAACATCAGCACTCATCAGTTGCTGACCAGCAGCTGCTAGGTCGACCTTTTCTTTCAATTTTAGATTAGTACTATTATGCTCTGATCGTGCTGCAGCTGCATGTTTTACTTCCTCCTGTTTAAGCTGATTTGACTTGTTTGATGCAACAGGTGGGTTGCCTTCATTTTTGGTGGTCTGCTTGCAAGTTTTCAGCCCTTCACACATTGCCCCATGGTTCCTTCCGTTAAGATGGGACTTCAAGTCATGCTCCGATTTTGTTGTCACTTGGCATACTGCACAACTCCACTCTGTCTCAACTTGCTTCGAAGAAATGTTCTCTGAAAGTTTAATCTCTACAGCATCTTCTGGAACTGCTGTTTTCTTGACCTGCATTCCTATCGTTTTCCTCTCAATCTGAATTAGACTTTCCTTCACCCTTTTAACCTCCAATTCGATGGGACATTTTAATCTCCTGCATACTGATTACTTTTGCTTGATATAGAAAAACAAATACTCCTTCTGTTCCATTTAATGTGGCACTATTAATATTTGGGGAGCCTATGACTTACAATTTTATAATACTTTTAAGTTTAACTATTGTGACTTACAATACTTTCTACATAGTTTTCACATATGTAAATTTTATTTTAAAACATTTGAAGAATATATGTCTAATCACACTTAAAATTAAGTAGTTTGACCATTGCACTCCCAAGTCTAAGCCGCCAAACAAAATGTAACAGAGGGAGTACTAGGCTAGAATAACAGTGGTACTGATGAAGGATGATATTATCTCTCTCTTTGCTCTCCGCGCATGTTAGGGTGGATTAATAACGTACGCATCGATCGGCCATGGGAGGCAAAGGAAGACCTAAGAGGAACACGAATAAGCTTCCGATCGTGGAACTCAAAATTGGGACCAATCGGAAAATTGGAGTGAGCAACGAGCAATCACCGAAGGAAAACTCTGAAAGTGAGGAGAAGCATACACCAAGGGCGACGATCTGTGAGCAGAAGAATCAATCAAAGGGCAAAGAGCAAATGAATTCGATGCAAATGGTTGGAATTTCTGGATCAAACAACAAGAGTAGCCACGGGACAGCAGAGGGACGGAAAATGGGTATTCATGGTGGAACCCTAGCTACGAGCTTGGGAACACAGATTCCCACAATTAAATCTCCAGTGGTACAAAGTAGCGAAGCTACGAGCACCCAGAGGAAACTCTCTATGCCTAATGAGATGATGGTAGAACCAATTGGAGCACAAAGGGCAATAAACAGACCTATGGGTGACAAGGATGAAACACAAAAGGGAACCCATGGGTAACTGTGGTTACTGAGAACAAATTGGCATCTAGGGGCATGAATTTGCAAAATATAGCCCCATTGATAGTAGAGGGTGAGAAGATAGTTCAGTTGGATCAAGATAGTTCAGTTGGATCAAGAAGAATTAGACGGGGAAAGTGAGAAGTGGAGGACAGCGATAATCCTCTATGTAACTGGAAATTCACCATCCATTGGAGCTGTAGAAAGGTTTCTCAACTCACAATGGAAGTTCGAACAAAAGCCACAGATTTACTATCATCAGGAGGACTACTTTGTCATCAGCTTTAGCAGCATGGAGGAAAGAGATGAGGTAATGTTTTCAGAGCCTCATACTACTAAGAATAGACCTGTGATCCTGAGGTTATGGAACCAAGATTTCAACTTGTATGATGAAGTACTGGTACTATACCAGTATGGATTAGATTACCAAATCTGCCGCTAAGCTGCTGGAGTATGAGAACCCTCAGTAAATTGGAAGTAGCTTAAGGAAATCCACTATTTGCTGATGATTGTACAACTTGCATAGCTCGGATATCCTATGCTAGATTGCTGATTGAAATGGACATTACACGTCCATTGCCTAAGAGTGTGAAAGTGCAGGATCCAAAAGGAAATGTATTTGAGCAACAAGTAAAATATGATTGGGAGCTAGAATTCTGTACGAAATGTCATGAGATAGGACACAGCTGTAAACCTGTGAGTATTCAGAAAGGGAATCCACAGCCAGACAAAAGCAAAAACCAGAAAATGAAACAGGCTTGGAGGAAAAATGAGAGTACTATGGCAAAGGGGGCACCTATTAAACCAGTAAAGATTGTTGAGCCCATGAACCTATAAAGGCTGCTGAAGTTGTAAATTTTACTGAGCCCCAGCAACAAGTTTCAGTTGATAAGTGGACAGAAGTTAGAGGAAAGTCTGCTGCAAAGCCAAGCAAACTAATACCAAGTGAGGAGAATAATATTGATACACAGAATGGATTTAACCTTCTGGAGCATAGGGATCTCCAAACTATGCAGGGATGGTCTGGCTATGATAGAGGACAAAGTAGTAACAGGAGTGAAGGACTCAAATTTCCACTCTATTCTACAATGATAGTTACATGGAATGTGAGAGATTTGAATAAAACTTACCAACAAAAGGAGCTAAAAGAGTTTATAAAGGAGAATAAGCTGGGACTAATTGCTATTCTTGAGCATAGGATGGATGACCAAAAAGCTGGGAAAATAATAAATAAAAAAATAGTTCCAGGATGGAGTTGGGTGTCAAATATGAGCAGCACCTGCAAAGGGAGAATATGGATAATCTGGAATCCAAGTATAGTTGACTTTCATATGCTGGACGCATGCCCTCAATATATACATGGGTAAGTCAGAATATACACTTTGAAATTAGAGTTTCGGTTTACTGCTGTCTATGGATTGCATACTATACAAGACAAGAGGAGTTTATGGGATAAGTTCAGAGGCCTCACGCAAATAATTCAGGGACCTTGGCTAGCAATGGGAGACTACAACTCTATATTAACTATGGAAGATAGGCAAAATGGGGCACCGGAACAAGACATAGAAACAAGGGACTTTAAGGAGTGTAAGTTTGATTGTGGGCTGACTGAATTGGTAACAGTTGGGAGAGAATATACATGGACTAACAACCATGTATATAGTAGAATTGACAGGGCTTTATCCAACTGTTTGGGTCACTATGCTACCAACAACACGGGCACTGGTGATGGAGCCACACTTCTCGGATCACTCTCCATTATGGATAAAGTTTGGTAAGCAACCAAGTAAAAGAGCTAAACCATTCAAAAAAAATTAATTGCTTGGCAGAAAGTTCAGAGTTCCTACCATTAATAGAGAACTGCTGGAAGAGAACAAGGGAGCAGGGGTATTTGGAGAAGTTATGGAATAAGTTGAAAACTGTCAAATATCAGCTGAAGCATTTGAACACCAGACAATTCAAAGGTGATGGCAGACTGAAGAATATTTGAAGACAATTGCAAGAAATACATGTGCAGATGGGTAACAATATTCAGCAGTCAAGTCTCATACAAGAAGAGAAGGAATTGAAAGAACAACCGGAGAAATGGAGCATGATTGAGGAAAGTATATATAGGCAAAAGTCTAGGATCCAATGGTTGACACTAGGAGATTCTAACTCAGCCTACTTCTTTGCTAATATGAAGAACAGACGTGCCCAAAACCACATCAGAAACATTATCAACTCACATGGTATTTTACTGCAAACTGACAATGAAATTACAGAGGAGGTAACTGGTCATTACAGAGAACTATGGGGAACAGCTGCTACTGCAACCCCTGCTATTGATCCTACTATACTGAAAGAAGGACCGGTCTTAAATATGGAGCAACAAAGGGGATTGATACAACCAGTGACAAGAGAGGAAGTATACGAAGCCTTGAAAGATATTGATGATATGAAGGCACCAGGTGTGGACGGATTGAATGCATACTTTTTCAAGAAAGCCTAGCCTGTTATTGGGGAAGAGATCACAGATGCAGGCCTGGATTTCTTTGATACTACTGATATGTTCCCTCCAGTGAATTGTACAGCAGTAACTCTTACACCAAAAGTCAAAAATCCTTCCTCTGTCAAAGAATACAGACCTATCTCTTGTTGCACCACATTGTTCAAGATCATATCCAAAATATTAACCAAACGATTACAGGTAGTTATGGACAGGCTAGTTGATAATAGTCAGTCTGCCTTTGTACCAGGTAGGGTCATAACGGACAATATTATTCTCAGTCATGAGCTGGTAAAGGGATAGCTATAGGAGGAAAGGTTTGTCGCCAAGATGTATGATGAAACTTGACATGTAGAAGGCCTATGACTCGTTAGAGTGGATATTCTTGGAATAAGTTCTGGTTGGTTTGGCATTTCCTGATAAATATGTGAAATGGATTATGCAATGCATCCAAAGTGTCACTTACTCCATACTTATCAATGGCAGTCCAACAAAACCATTTGAAACCAGGAGAGGAATGAGACAGGGGGATCCCCTATCCCCATTTCTTTTTGTCCTAGCCATGGAGTATTTTACAAGAAGCCGGAAGAAATTGCAGCAGATTCCTGATTTCAATTATCATCCGAGATGTGAAAAAATGCATATTATGCAACTAAGCTTTGCAGACGATCTTCTCTTATTTTGTAGAGGTGATTCAACTTCAGTAAAGATCATGTATGAATGCTTCCTGCAGTTCTCTAAAGCTTCAGGACTGAAAGTGAATAAGAGAAAAAGTTTTGTTTTCTTTGGTGGAGTACATGATAACGTACAACAAGAGATTCTTGAGAACCTGGGATTTGAAAAGGGAGAGCTACCTGTCAGGTATCTAGGAGTCCCATCCAACACCAAGAGACTGACAGCTACACAATGCCAACCATAGCTAGAAAAAATAACGGGAAGGATAACATCATGGACTGCAAGACTCATATCCTATGCAGGTAGAACATAACTCACTAAAAGTGTGCTTTTCTCCATTCAAACCTTCTGGGCATAGATCTTTATGCTGCCCAAGAAGCTTCTACGCATGATTGGAACATTATGCAAACAGTTTTTATGGACTGGAACATCAGAAAGCTCATAAAAGGAACCTTTAGCCTGGCATAATATTTGTTGGCCACAGTCAGCTGGAGGATTAAATATAGTGGATATTGGGGTATGGAACAAAGCAGCTATCAGTAAGCATAACTGGAATCTCTGCCACAAAAAGGACAAGCTATGAATCCAATGGACTCATACCTATTATATAAAGGGGAAGATGTTATGGGAAGTTAATCTATCACAAGCATCATGGATGATAAAGAAGATATTGAAAGCCCAAGCATATTTTGAGAAATCTGGATATGCAGCAATTGATATACTAAACATGAACTGTTTTTCTATCAAAAGGATGTACCTCAGACTGAGAGGTATATTCCTTAAAGTACCTTGGAGGAGAATGGTGTGTAACAACTTGGAATGTCCTAAATGTATATTCACTTTAAGATTTGCTGCTCAATGCAAATTATATACAAGGGATAGGCTAGCAAAATGGGGAATAAATAGCAATCAGGCTTGAATGCTCTGTGATGAAACAGATGAAAGTATTGCACATCTTTTCTTCCAGTGTCCATACTCTGCCTCTATTTGGTCCAAACTATTGATCTGGCAGGAGATACAGAGGACACCAGGGGTGGCAAGAGGAACTAAATTGGGCAACAAAGTTTGCTAATGGCAAGAACAGCAAGGATCAGATTTATAGACTTATATTGGCTTGTTGTGTCTACCATTTTTGGCAAGAAAGGAACTGTAGAATTTTCCAAGGAGTGCAGAGGACTTCAGCAGCGATATGCAGGCTGATTGTGCAAGATGTCCACTATAGAGGAGCTGGGAACAAAAAGATATCTGGAAAGCTTAGGACTATGAACTATTACATAGGAACTGTGTAATCACAAGGTGTACTGGGAAGAGGGGAAGTTAGAAGATTTAGGCATGCAGGATGATGTAAAAGTTGGGTCCTGTCCAACTTATGGGTTTTTGAACTGTTACTTATTTCCCTGGTAAACATAAAATCTCTAATTACCAAAAAAAAAAAGTGGGACTGATGTTTTAAAAAAAAGTAAGAGCTTCAATGCTCTCCCTTTTCTAATGGCTTCAAATATTTACAGGAGAAACAGAGGCTCGAGACCATACCAGATAATTGAATCTAATGCAAACTAAAACAGGATTAATTTTACACAGTGCACCAATTAAACAGGATCTCAGTGTGCATTATTAATTGCCATCTTTCCCAGATTAGCTTTATCATGGGAACATCAAGCTATCCTCTTGTCATCATTAACAGCTTGTTTAATATTTCATCTATTGTTTGCTCAATGATTGCATGGGGCCAAGAGCAATACTTGTGAAGACATAATATTAACTAAGGAATATATATAAGGGCTAAGAAATATAACCTGTTTGGGCTCAGCTGCTTCATGTTTTGCCATGTGCTTCATCACTTTGATATCTGCCCAAACAGGACCACCCCTCTGTTTAGGGGCACAATGATTATTATTTAGGAGATTTTAAGGAATGAAAGCATGAGAAGAGACAATGATTTTCACTACAAAAGAATTAGTTCGCAAGAGGAAAATTCATTCGTTGATGCTTTATTTGAGAAAACTGGTAGCTGCATAATGAAACATACATTAGCTTATGGGTTGGAAGGTACACTGTGTCTATGCAAATGAAGCATTCATGAATTAGCTGGAAATAAGCAAAATGTCTATATGATGTGTGTATTTTATGTGTGCGTGCAAACAACTCAATTTGTAGTTTTTTACTCAACCTACTAATGCAACTTGTCAATTCATTAGGGAGTGAAAACACCAATAAACAAGAAGTTGACGACTGTTTCATTCAGTACAGTAGAAAAAGCCAGGAAAAAGAGATGAGTGACCTGGTTGGGGTTGAGCATTCCTACTTCATCACTATTATCAGTAGACTTGATTTCTTCTGCATGATGATTCAAACTATAATACTTGGACTGCAAATAAGAGACCATGATGAATTTACTTGTTTAAAAAGAACCAATAGAATCCAGTGGAATAAGTAGTCATACATTTGCTTCAACGATGGGAATCTAACTTAATGAATTAGCAGCCTTAATTCTCACATAAACTGGGTGCTACATGCTAAAGTAACATGTGACGTACCTTGTTTGAGATAAGTTTGTCCGGAGCATCAGATCTATTTTCTTCCTTTGCCAGAGACACAAGTGATTCATAGGGTTCCTCCATTGGCTTGTTAAACCACTCAGTGACAGTTTGAAGGTTGACAGACAAGCACAAACATACAAGGCGTTGGTAAACATCATAAAACTGCGTGATAACATTCACCGACAAACATGGATGAATAAGATTTTGATAAAAATAACCACGCGCCGTTAAACTGAGGTATTACCAACCAACATATGGTAAGTAATTTTATATATGGCCACAGAGGAACCCTGCCAGTCAAGAGTAAATGGAAAGACATTAGTACATGCAGCAGGAGTAGTTTCTCATGTTCAACCACATATGTTTCTTGAAATGCTTGAAAAAAACTCTCTAGCTCTTGAAATCCGAAACTGCTCACCAAGGGAATTTAAGAAACACAAACAATATCATTACCAAACATATCATTACCATTGGATAAGTTTCTCAAAAAGGTCGTCGAACAGAGAAATAAAGGAAAAGATGGTCCAATATATGACTAGCTTCCTCATGTGATACTTGGAGCCAGTCTCAATCGCTCGGATTGAAGCACATCTGCGGTTCCACAAAAGGATTGGCAAACGACGTTATCAGCAACAGAAATATACTACACCAGGTGGACAATCAAAGCATTCAATAGTAGAAGCTCTGATATGGGCTAGCGCGCATTTGGCATGGAGAAAATTGTTTCATATGAAAAATATTATCTACAAACTAGATTTTAAATTGGTCAGGAGTAGAAGTGGGCGACATAAGGTAATGGTAAAAATTAACAAAAATTGAAACAAGTGATATAAAATAAAAGTTGGGAAAAAGGGCATATGTCCGTATATTGAATTTTAGGATCACATTGTACTTTATATACTTTTTCCATATATGGAGAAATGGGGAGTTCTCTACACTTACAGAGGATACCCAAGAGCAAGTACCGGCCTGCAAATTACAGAGCAAGAAAACAAGGGAGTAAAAATACACAACCACATATATATATACGTACTTGAAAAGTAAAAGAAAAGTGATCAGCAAAGAGACGAAGTAACTAATCTGCAAGCTACGAAAGCTAAAACCTTGACCATTTTTGCCTTCCTCTTTACTACTACTTCAGAAAACAAGAATGTAAGAAAGAAAATAGATTTTACCACGCGAGGAAATCGATCAAGTGAAGCGTACTTGTGAGAAAACCCATTTTGGGAAATTTAATTTCCTTTAGTTTAGCTTTCCTTTTGTAACAATTTCCTCCGCTGGAGTTCTTTCAAGTTACTTGAAATGAGTTTCTATGATCAGAGATAGGAACAGAGATTGTACTTCAGAAGACTTTTGAAGAGGAAAAGACCCATCTTTCTATTTTACAAACTTCCAATTAAATGAAAGCATTTTGCTTCCGAAAAGCTGGAGTTTTCATTTACTGTTTATTTTCTAATTTCGATGATTCTACCGAATTGTAATTAACACCCATAATTAAAGAAAGTTCAGTCACCATAGTCCTTTCAACTTTCATTTTCTCCCTTTAAATTAGGACCCGTTTCACCATAGATTTTGCCAAAATAAATTTAGTTTTTATTTGGTAAACACATGTTTGGCCATAGATTTTGTCTATATTTTGGTAAAATCCCAAATCCTAAAACCAGCTAAATTCCTAATAATACACATATTTTTTCAAAATAAATTTGGAAAATATATTTTGAAAACGTATGTCCAAATATATTTTTATTTTCAAGCCAAACTTTACTTAAAATAGATTTTTTAAAATAAATTTGATAATCTATAGACAAACGTCGTTAGGCTAATGTGATTCTCTTTTTTCATTTGTACTGCTGACTTCCCAATTTCTCCTCCACTCAAATCCTTAATGATGAAGGAACTTGAAAGTACAACTACTTGTTTTTTTAATAACTAGTGATCCAATAGACTAGTAATTAAAATGCGCAAGTAAATACGAATTTTCCAGATAGAGTTGTAGATTAAAAAAGGTTGAAAGATGAGTATCCTGTAGGCAAAAGAAAGAGGAATAATAATTTTGTTGTACTAAACTTGTACAAATCTAGAAAATAGATTGGATATATATCTTTATTTTATATTATTACAAGAGAATATTTTTATGAGTTGAAAACATGATCTTTCTATCATATGACAACAATTCTTGTCATTGGGTCTCAAAACCCATCAATTATGAAACGGAGAAAATTTCTTATAAAATTTGAATTCTAAAATATTTAAGTGTAAAAAAAAATTACCGTCACTGGACTACAATCGTTCATAGTGTAGACTTAGAAGCATTAATTATCATGTGGCTTTTTCCTTTACGAAACTAACTTGAAAGTTATCCATTGTTAGGCTTATTCGCTTAAAGCTCCCAAATATCCACTCCCGCCACCCTTAACCTCCCTGACCTACCCGCACCCTAACCCACCATTCCAACCCACCCTTTGCACCTAGCCCACTCCCCGCTCACCTCGATCTTAGGCCCTTGACCCTGGGCCTTGAACCCCGAACACTGGACCAGCCTCCCCTGCCCCCGACACTAGCCCACCCACCCGCACCTCGCCCTACCTGCTCACCCTTTTATCCTTGACCCTGATCCTTCGACCTCCCAAACTCTCAATGTCCCGCTCCTTTCTCCGCCCTCACCTATTACATTTTTCATAGTGTTTTCTTATATTGTATATTTTTCAAAAAAAAGCTTTTTACTTACTAATCAAGTACCAGAAAATAAGTAAGAGAAGCACTTATTTTTTCAAAAAATAATTTTCTTCGTGCCAAAATGTAACGACTCGGCCGGTCATTTGGAGTATTTTAGCCCCGTTTCCCCTATTCGATGCTTTACATATGTGTATTTGTCGTTATGTAACTTGCAGGGGGGCGGTTGGTATAGTTTCGAGGAAGTTTTGAATTGAATTGGGACACTTAGTTCCGAGGTTGGAAGCTTAAGTTGTGAAAGTTGACCGGAGTTTGACTTTTGTGTAGACGACCCCGAAATGGTATTTTGATGGTTCCAATAGGTTGGCAAAAGTTGAAAAGTTGAAGGTTTGGAAGGTTCATAGGTTTGACCGGGAGTTGACTTTGATGATATTGGGTTCAGATTGTGGTTCCGAAAGCGGGAATATGTCAGTTGTGTCATTTGGGACCTTTATGCAAAATTTGAGGTCATTCCGAATTGTTTAGATATAGTTCTACATGAGTTTTAGAAGTTAGAAGTTGATTAGTTCCTTATGCTTGAATTGAGGTGCGATTCGTGATTTTGATGTTATTTTGTATGGTTTAAGGCCTTGAGTAGGTTCGTATTATGTTATGGGATTGGTTGGTGTGTTTAGATGGGTTCCGAGTGCCTCGGGTGAGTGTTGGATGGATTTCGGATCATGTTGGATTGAGTTGACATTGTTGTGGTTGCTGAGTTCTGGTGTTTTCGTATCTGCGAAGCCGCAGAAGCAGCCAGTGTTGCATAGAAGCGGTAATGGACTGGAGACAGAGGAAGTCTGCAGATGCGGACATTTTTCGCAGAAGCTGATGCGTTTCTGCGTTGTGGAGTCCGCAGAAGCAGAAGGTCGGGAAGTAAGTGACTTCCGCATCTGCGAGGGTTTTTACGCAGATGTGGTACCGTAGAAGGGGGATTTTTGTCCGCAAACAAATGCGAAATCGCTGGGCAAATTATATTATTTTGAGGGTCGATTTGAGGTTGGATTTGGATGAAACATATATATTTAAACTCTTATTGGAATGGGTATTTGGGATTTGTGAGTTTTGTCGGGTTCCGGAATGTGGCCCCGGGGTTGACTTTTTGGGTTGACTTTGTATAATTGTATGAGGATCTTAACTTTATTGTTTGTAGTTGTTTCATATAGCTTCTATTGATGATTAAGTTATTTTGGCTAGATTCAAGACGTCCGAAGGTTGATTCATACGGGAAGGGATTCTTAGAGTATTGATTTGGCTTGCTTGAGGTACGTTTCTTATCTAAACTTGGTTGAGGCACTAGTTGACGGAGTTATTAGTGTTGGCTACGCGCTATGGGTGGCGCGCATGTGAGGAGATTGAGCCCATGTGCATACACCAGGGTACTATCCATGCCCGGGATAGTGATTAGGCTATTATATGCCTTGAATTGATTGATAAGCTTTATGTTATCATGTTTCTTATGTTATACCCCATTTTGTGGACTAATTGAATTATGTTAGAGATTATTTGATGGGTGATCTACTATTCAAACATGTCAATTGTTATTCTGGTGCCGTAATCGTCTGATTTGAACTATGGTAGTACACTTCGTACATGCCTACGCCTTAGCATGTCACTTATATCAGTCCATAAGTATGTGATTTTATATCCATTGTTCATGTAGTAGGAAAGTAGCAGGAAGAAGGTAGCTAAGTCGAAACGAAAAGTGACCAGAAAACGCAAAGGATAAAGGCAAAGCTGAAGCGGCGATTTTTATCGCGAGTTGTAGCGAATTCAAATCCTTTTTGAATGACCAAGATATCCTCCAGCGGCAAGCAGAGATGTCGACGAAGAGGCGTCTGCTTCAGCTGTTAACCCGCATTTCTAATATACTAGCGGAAGTAAAGCCCGTGTTATGCACGTGCCCAAGCTTAAATGGATACATCGACATAAATCAAGTTAATCTATGATCTGACTTTATTTTCCATAGATTAGGTATGATCAACAAATTTTATCTTAATTTAAGTTTATGATCATGAGGGAACTCAGGTTAATATCAGTGCGACATGTTTCTTTTTTTCTTTTATAATTTTACAATAGAGTTGTGGAATTATGAAGTTAATATATAAGTGGGGCAAGTTTGTTTTTTCTTCTTCTGTATGAGTATGTTTTCATGTACATTATTTCATTAAAATTTGATGCTAAAAATATAGTTTTGCACGTGAATCTGCTGTAGTGATTTATATTTTTATAGCAAGGGTGAAAGGCAAGGGCGGCCCAATGGTAAAGCAAGTCAAGAGCAATTGCTTGAGGCCCTACATTTGTGGGGGCCCCAAAATTTCTAATATTAAATAGTTGTATGTAATAATTTTTCTTTTAAAAATATTTAGCATATCAAAGAAAAGGCATATTTTTCATGAAAAAGAATAATTTGGGACCACTAGAGATATTGGGGTGAAAATAGCATGGGCTAGCCAGTTTTCGGACTGATAATTGAAAAATAGCCAACGTTTGTAAAGTTATTGAAAAATAGTCACTATTTTGCTGCAACACGAAAAGTTCCAGTATAAACTTTACGTGTGTATTCTTATCTCATTTATACACCATCATCATTATCACATGGCCTATATTAATTTTACCATTTACCTCTCTACACTCACAAGTTTATTATCTCGTAAATCATTCTCTCAAATAAGATAGCATAAAGCAATTGCCAACACTCTTTTATTTCAAGCTTTCCCCACGTTACATCTTTTGTTCTTAATTATATATTGTCTTTTTATTTATTTATTAGAATTTTAATATATATATATATATATATATATATATATATATATATCAACAAGAAAATATGAATTCGCATATTTAAAACACCAAAAAAAGGGAAGAGTTAAAACTTTAATACTTTCCCAAAAATGAGTTATTGGTAAATTTTTAGCGAACTATAAAAATTTTGAATCAGAAAATATGGAAGAATTTATGGTAGATGAACAAATCACTAACAAAATTGAGCTAGACGATAATGAAATCCAAGAAGAAGAAGAAGTTGGTGAGAAATCTATCATAAATCTTTCAGAAAATCAGGAAATTCTAAGAGAATGGAATAATATCCTAGAACATATATGATCCTAGTAAAAAGATCGATTATAATTAAAATATTAATAATTTTGTATCTCAAAAAGGTAGAAAAATAAATTTTAAATAAAATTTTACTAAATTATTTTTTGTAATGCCGAAAATTTAAGGCCCCTCGTTGAAGTATGGCTTTAGGCCCCAAATATCATTGGGCCGCCCATGGTGAAAGGGCATAAATCTTGTACGAAAAGCTTACACTCAATCATTTGAAAAAATTTCATTGGAAGAAAATGCACTATTATATTCATGTTGTTGTCCAACATAGTTAGTTGACACATAATTCACCTATAGAATTGCTGAAAGCCATTTCAAGAATTGTTGCAGAAAACAAAAGAAAGATGGATGCAGGGAAATATATTCTCATTTTTCTCCTATTTGAATAAGCTTTTCTGCACATATTATAGAAAAAAATAAACAAAAGGTGTTTGGGTATTTTCTTTTAAGGAACAACGCCTAAATTTGTCTTATTGCTTTCTTAAATATCATAACGACCTTTAAAGTTTATGGAATAACAATTTTAATTTGTGTGTCTCTCGAATAACAAAATAATTTTTTTATATGATATATCTCAATATTTCGCTTGAGTTTCAGTAAAATACTGTATTAGTAGAAATTAAAAGTTAC